GATAGTTTTTATTATTATCTCATTAAAGAGATCCTTTACCTTTTGCTTATTTTAAATGCTTTTGAGATATTGTTCAGAAATCTGCACAACTCATTAAACGGTGGTTACTGTAAAATTTAAGAATGACTAATGAATCAGTTGATTATACATACTTCCGAAGTAAACTCCCTAAACATCTCTTAAGTGCATTCTATTTAAAAAGTACTAAAAACTCTCAAATTCAGATTATGGTGTTATCCTTTCCTACCTTTTAACAAAATGAAACACAACAGACCGCTTTGCTTTTTGGTACCAGGAATCGAACTCAGGACCTTAGGCTTGCCAGGCAGGCTTTTATGCTGCTGAGTTATATCTCCAGCCCTAACTTTGTTGTGTTATCTACCTTCTACAGGGTGGAGGTGACTAGGCTGGCAGGGAACAGAGAGACAGAGTGAGTCTGAGAAATAAAGGAGTAAAAGGCTGGGGATTTAGCTCAGCGGCACAGCGCTTGCCTGGCAAGTGCGAGGTCGTGAGTTCAATTCCCGGTACCGGAAAAAAAAAAAAAAAGAAATAAAGGAGTGACGTGAGGGTCTATGAGGACCACACCGTCTGGCCTCAATTGCACTGTCTTTGAATCTGCTGTATTGTCTAGAAGTTGTACCTCTTTGGGATGGGTTCGTGGTTATCCATCCATTTGTCACTGGCTAGTGATAATGGAAATTAAAACTGAAGTCTTCAGTGCAAATTTACAGGAAATAGCTTTAACTGAAAAGTAGAGAAAATAAGAGGGGGCACGCACAGCTCTGACCCACATCACGCTGGTACCCAAACAAAGGAAAATAAGAGAAAATAAGGAAAGGGATTCCATTTGAGGAACTGAAGGGGGCGTAGATCTCAACAGGAGGCTCAGACTGGCCAGTTTTCTGGGAGCAGTGGTGGGCTGTGGACTGACTGATCATTATCTTAGTCTGTGCTTTTTGCGGCTCCAAAGGATCCTTATGGCTTCAGGCACAGTTTCGTTCCCTTGAGAGGACTGTTCTCGCCTGGGGCTGTCTCTCTGCTGGTATCCAAGGTGACACTAGGTTTACGGCAGTGGACACTTCTGGGCATAGCTGAATGTGGCTGTAAATCTCTCCTTTTGGTGTCCTCCATCGTGAAGAAGGATGGGATAGGCTGGGTAAAGGTAGGGTCACAAAATCTGGTTTCGCCATTTTTTAGACAGGTACCCCCTAAATGATGAGCATGCCTCAGTGCAGAGCTGTGAAGGAATTTGACTCAGAGTCTTACAAAATGAAGGCCAGGGTTTGTTCTGCTTTTAGTTACCCATTGGGCATCTGTAGGCCCAAAACAAGAGTCACGGTTTTATTTTTTGTTTTGTCGCTTGTAAAGCAAAAGCCACTTTTAAGTCTCTGCCTGAAGGGCCCAGAAGTTTGTCCTCTGTCCCTGTGGTGGGATGTGACTGTATCATCATTCATCTGTTGAATGACCATTTAGGGGTGCTCTCTGTTGGCAAGCAGAATTCCAGGTGCTAGAGTACATCTCTGAGCAGGGTAGAGTTCTGATCTCCCGGAGCTCGTGTTCTAATTGCAGGAAGCAGACAACAAGCCTGGATTACAACATTAGGGGCTGGGAAGTGCTGCTTAACATGGAAAGGCAGAAACCTGAATGGGGCGAGGAGCCAGGCGTGAGGGGCCGTGACAGAGTATTCCAAGCAGCGGGGACGATGGCAGCAAAGCTCTTGAGGCGGGAGATGTTGGTGTGTCTCCGAGTAATAAGAAAGTCAGTGGCAGGAGCTGACTGGGTGAGGGGAGAGAGTCACGGGACATGAGCAGTAACCGAGTTGGAAGCCACATGGGAGATTAGAAGGATTTAACTTTCAACCTGAGGAAAATCCAAACAGAGGAGAGACACGATCTGACTTATGCTTTGAAAGGGTCATCCAAAGGAAAAAATAAAAGCCAAAGAGCTAAAAAGAAGAAGAAAGAGGAGGAGAATGGATGGCAGTGACGGCGGCAGCCAGGCATGATTTTGCGTGCCCGTAATCCCAGTACTGTTGGGCTGGATGCTGAGGCTGGCAGATTGCGGATTCAAGCCCAGCTTGGGAGTCATAGCAGTTTAGTGAGACAATGTCTCAAAATAAAAAATAAGTTGGGTGTGGTGGAGCACGCCTGTAATCCCAGCACTCAGGAGGCTGAGGCAGGAGGATAGTTGTGAGTTTGAGACCAGCCTGGGCTACAAAGTGAGCTCAAGGCCAGCCTGAACTGCATAGCCAGACCCTGTCTCAAAAAGACAAAAAATAAATAAATAAAAATAAAAGGGCTGGGGTGTAGCTCAGTGTGAAGACCTTGGGTTCAATCCTCAGAACCCTTCCATAGCAAAAACCTAAGGTTAAGAAAACCCCCTTCCTACCTGGCTTCATCAAGGAGAAAAATCTAAGTAAGTTTTTTTTTTTTCTTTCATTTTTTGTTAGCATGTTTGGATCCATAATAACTATACTCATTTTGGGGAACTGGTACACATACATATCACATCTTAATCCTTTTCACTGCCTCTTCCCCTCCCTAGCACAGTTCAGTTTCAAGGGCCGCAGGGATGTGGCCTGAGCCCGCAGACCAGAATGGAGCAGAGGGGGCTGGAGATTTAGCTCAGCAGCAAAGGGCCTGCCTGGCAAGCGCAAGGTCGTGAGTTCGATTCCTGGTACCAGAAGAAAAACAAAACAAAAAAAACAGAAACCAGAATGGAGCAGAGACACGGTAACCTGAAAAAGTGTGGACAGAGGTGAGGCATCAGGAGGAGAGGCTGTGAAAGGTCCCATGCAGCCAACTGACCAAGAGTGGGAGGTGCTTCTGGATGTTGCACGTTTGACCTCCGGCTTGGTGCCAGGCAGTTCCCACCATAAGCACGGACACGAGTGACCCAACTCTATGGCCCTTTTGCAGCCACGAACTATGACCCCCAAAGGCAAGATTTGCATTTCCCATGTGTGTACTTTTCCGTGTGGTAACCCAAGGAGCAAGGCCACTGATAACAGCGCAATTCAATGCAATGTGGCAAGCTTCACCCAGGGGTGAGCTGGCCAGACCAGAAGGAGAATGGCCTTCCACTGTGCCCGGTGCGCAGAGCAGTGAAGTCACTTTGGGTTTTACATGGCGGCCTTGGGGCTGGACAGCCATAGCAGTCCGATGGACCCCATCATTTCGAGTTAGTTAAAACATCAGTGAACTGGCTGAGGCACTTAGGGGAGCCTCTGGCCCACATCTTTGCTTTGGTCAGTTTCTCCCAAAGCCATAGCTGCCAGTGTTTCAGGTAAAGCAAAGATGCTGCTAGGGCCAGGCTGGCTATTTTCCTCCTCGGCCCTGTGTGCGTGTGTGTGTGTGTGTGTGCGCGCGCGCGCACACACACACACGCACGCGTACTGGGACTTGCCTTTAACATGCTAGCCAAATGCTGTACAACTGAGCTGTGTACCCAGGCCTTTTTTCAAGATGTTTATTTTGAGACAAGCTCTCCCTAAATTTCCCAGGCTGACCTGCAACTTGTGATCCTCCTGCCTCAGCCTCTGGAGTAGCTGCGGTTACAGGCATATGCCACCGTGCCGAGCATACTCTTCTAGGTGCACCGTTTATATTTGGTTAGCAAAGATTCTTAGAGTCTTCTCATCTTTTTCAATTACCAGGGTCCACTTGACTTCTCCAAAACGGGGTCATCGGGGTAAGAGCTGCAGTCCTCCGGAGCAGCAGGCAGTGTGTACTTGGCATCTACGTCCAGTAGGTGGCGGTGTTGTACTGAGAAATGGCCTCTCTAGAGCGCACTAGAGACAATGGACTTTAACAAGTAAAGTTGTGATTTCTTTTTCTTCTCTTCAGATTCTTGTTTCTGCCTGACCATCTGGGAGGGGGAAAAGAGGCGAGCAGAGAAGTGATTTTGCAGTCTCACCAACGTGGAGAACCACGTGGCAGCCCCTGAATGGGGAGGACCCTTCAACACTGGACCGGGCTGGTAAATGCAAGCCTGTGCCCCAAGTCCTACTGGCCATCCTGATGTAGAAGCAACCAAATCAAGGAGACCTGCACGCAGGCTAACTTTAGCTTCCCATCTCCAGTGGGAACTCTGACCAAGCCCCACAGGTGAATCTGGGTACCTTTTCCCTACCAAGAACAAGGACTGAGAAATCTAGCACAGGTATGTCAAGGACTGCAGCTAGCGACGGCTCTGTGTCATCTGCTGGCTGAGGGTTCTTTTGCTCAGTTTGGATGGAAATCACAAATAGGCAAAGTGTAGCTCGTTCAGTGTAAACAACCCTGAGCTTTGGATGCCAGCAGCTCTCAGCTCTTGGTGCTAGTGCCCTCCGGCACTCTCCTGGCAGCAGGACTCCACAGCTGACAGCAGCCCTTGGGGATTCTCACGGCCACCGAGCTGGCAGCTCCTGACAAATCTCCATTACTCTCTGTTATTGGCTGCTGGCTGCCAGTCAGTCCCTTCAGAGAACAGGTCCTGCTGGGCGTGGTGGTGCACGCCTGTAATCCCAGCACTCAGGAGGCTGAGGCAGGAGGATCGTTGCTAGTTCGAGGCCAGCCTGGGCTACAAAGTGAGCTCAAAGTCAGCCTGAACTGCATAGCAAGACCCTGTCTCAAAAACATCAAAAAAAAAAAAAAACAAAAAAACAAAAAAACAAAAACGTAGCAGAAAACAGGTTCCCACCATGAGCACAGACACAAGTGACCCAACTCTATGGCCCCCAAAGACAAGATTTTCATTTCCCATGTGTATACTTTTCCACATGGTAACCCAAGGAGCAAGGCCACTGATAACAGAGCAATTCAGTACAATGTAGCAAGCTTCACCCAGGGGCGAGCTGGCCAGACCAGAAGGAGAATGGCCTTGCACTGTTCCCGGTGCACAGCGTTACCAGCTACAGTTGCTGGCTACTTTGGGCCCTAGTAACGGTTGGTGTTACCAGCGCCTAGTGTAGCGGCTCAGCACACCCGACTCAAGATACAAATCACAAACAGGCAAAGATGTATCACTCAGAAGGGGCTTTATTAGGGCTTATGCCGCAACATAAAGGGGAACAGTGCACAGACTGACCCGCTAAGGATGTGGGGGAAGTTGCTTATACAAAAGAACGAGTGGGGTCCCATATGCACAGACTTTCTGCATAGTCCTAGGCAGGGGTAGGGCTCCTCACGGACCTGATGAGACCTCTTGTACCTCTGCGGGGCAGTCATCTGGGATGGACCTATGACATGCTCGCTGCCACCCAAGCAAACGTCTCCCTGAGCAGCTGTGTGATGTAGTGTGGCTGGCGGCGAGGCATCTGGGGTACTGCAGAGGAACAAAATAAAGTAAATCCTCCTGGGACACACTGGGCTCTTCTCTCCCATCTCATCAAGGACCCTGTTAATTACCCTGCTCCCATACGCTGAGGAGAAAGGGAAGCCAGCCAGCTTATTGGGCATGGTGGGCAGCTGCACATGGGCTACAGGACTTCTGGTTTTTGACCTGTTCAACATGGTATATCCCGCAGTGACCTTTTTCAAGCAGTCCATCCCAAGTTGGGTGTTGGTGCTGCCCTGTCTTGACCCCTGAAGCTTTGCTTGGTTTTGGCATAAGGGTAAGGTGATCTTCCAGGAAATTAGGCCTAGCCACCAAGATTAACTTAGCGTTAAAGACATTGTAGACAGTGATACATGCATACCTATTACAGCAGCACAATTCATAATAGCTAAATCTTGTTTTTGTTTTTCTTTTTGAGACAGGGTCTCACTATGCAGTTCAGGCTGGCCTTGAGCTCACTTTGTAGCCCAGGCTGGTCTCAAACTCACAGTGATCCTCCTGCCTCAGCCTCCCGAGTGCTGGGGTTACAGGTATGCGCCACCACGCCTGGCTTCATCATAGCTAAACCTTGGAAGTGGCCTGTACACCCATCAACAGATGAAGGATAAAGAAAATGTATTACTTAGCATAAAAAAGGAGAAATCTGAGTCATTTGTAGGACAGCAGATGCAATTTGAGACCATATGCTAAATGAAATGAATCAGACAGAAGGTTAAATATTGTATGGTTTCCCTTGTATAAGAAGCCTAAAATGTAAATAATCTAAAGAATAAAATTAAAGCTGGATGACAGGAAATAGGAGAGATAGACTTTGTGGAAATACATGGGTGATCTAGGGGAGGTAAATGATTAAGCTGTGATATGTATCTGTACCAGTTCCCCAAGATGAATGTTATTATGTACTGCAAACATAAAGTCCACCCAAAAATGTATACACACTGCAGGAAAAGAAAAACCTGTGTAAATACTTGAACCCTCCATTTACTGAGATATCATGAGATGAATACAAGTTACCTTTGGCTCTACAATTATAAGACGTGCTCAAAGTGGTGGCTGTTAGCTTCTAGATATTCATTAGTACAGTGAACTGCTGCTTAGGTAACCTTAGTCACTGAGTTTGCTGCACATGCATTTTCAATGTCTCCTTTAAGGGCTGGCAATGTGGCTGGCAATTTTCTGTGACATGTGACATCCTGTAGGGTCCCCCATACAAGGGTAACACTAGCTGTTGCAAAAGCATCATACTACTTTTTTTTTTTTGTCTTTTTGAGACAGGGTTTCGCTATGCAGTTTAGGCTGGACTTGAGCTCACTTATGTAGCCCAGGCTGGTCTCAAACTTGCAACGATCCTCCTGCCTCAGCCTCCCAAGGGCTGGGATTACGGGCGTGCGCCACCATACCTGGTCTCATACTACTTTTCTTTTCCTGCAGTGTGTCTACATTTTGGGGGACAGACTATATATACTCATAGAAAATGAAAAAAAAACATGAATTGACTGAAGATTTTTTTCCCTGATTAAGATCCTTTACCCCGTATTGGGCGACCTCTCACTGCTCAGCCTGTGAACACTGGCACCACTGCAGTTGGTTACCAAGCAGGACAGTGGGGGATCCTCACTGCCTCACGTCCACTTGCACAAGGGCCTGTGGCAGCAGATCCCAGGGAGTCTTCTTGCATTTCCAAACCCTACCCATGTTGTACTTCCGGTTCCAGAGAACCGCGTCTCTATCATTGTCCAAACCTTGTTGCCAAAGCTGTTGGGTTTGGAATTTGATTTTACTTTACTTATAAGTTACTCTATTACTGATTTATGGTTATTGGCAGAAGACACAAGACTCCTGAGTCAGAGACAAAGGACTTATGACTCGAGCACAGCAAGCAACATGAGCACCAGCTTGTTTGTAATGGTTTCTGTCATTTCCTGGACCCACAGTGAGATGAGTGGGCTCAGAGGGAACCTATACTGTACGTGCTATAGGCTGCTTTGCAGCTGAGCTGAGACGGGGGATGCACTGCTTTTAAAGCAAGCAGTAAGCAAGCCTACTCTTTGTTTAGGGGGAGATGTGATCTCATCCCTTGAGGCAACTGAAAAACAACCCTGAAAAATGGCCCAAGTAAAATACTGCTGGTTGGCCCAGAGAACAATGATGTACTTAAATTAGAAAGGATGAAGGAGGCTGAGGTACAGGATTGCAAGTTTGAGCCCACAGCAACTTAATGAAACCCTGTCTCAAAATACAAAATAAAAAAGGGCTGGTTTTATAGCTCAGTGCAAAGGCCCTAGGTTTAATCCATAGTACCCCCCCCCCAACATACAAAGTATAAATTCATTGTTTATTTTAGTCTTTTTGAGACAGGGTCTCACTATGCAGTTCAAGCTGCCTTTGAACTCACTTTGTAGCCCAGGCTGGCCTCAAACTCTCAGCAATCCTCCTGCCTCAGCCTCCTGACTGCTGGGATTACAGGCATGCTCACCACGCCTGGCCAAAAATTCCTTGTATGATAATATCATACATATATTTCAGGCTCAAAGCCTAGAGATTCTGAATCAACAGACCCAGGTGAGTTATGGAGTCTGCCTTCTCTCAAGTCCCCTGGTAGTTCTGATGTCACGCTACAGTCCAAGAATTTTCTGAAGAAGCCATAAAAGTAGGCTGTGCCATCTCCTGCCTCAGTGTCCTAAGTGCTGGGAGTACAGGGGTGCAGCACCAAGACCGGCTCATCCTGAGTTTTGCTAGGTACTGGCGCACCGTTCTCTCTTGCTCTGAGGCCTTTGCACTGACCACTCCTGTTATGGGATACACGCACAAACTGAGCTAGCATCTCCTGATGCCAAAGAATGAACTTGAGGATGCTGGGGCAAAGTAAGAAGAAAGTTTATTAGAGGAATCTTCCTGAGAGCAGGACAAGGCCTGAAAGTGGGCTGCCATGGGGACTCTTCATCTAGGGCAGTGGTGGCGAACCTGCGGCCCTTGTGCCGAGGTGGGCTGTTTGTATCACTGAAAGCTCCAAAAGGTTCATCATCGCTGGTCTAGGGATTTTTATGCACAAAAACAACTATGTCTCAGGCCTCTCCGGGCAAAGCTGAAGTCAAGCTATGGGGTGACCAGCGAGGAAGTTTGACTAGAAATGGGCTTACAGAAATTGAGGGCTCAAAAAAAAAGGAAAAAGGAAAGAAAAAAACAAAAAACCTCAGGGCTCATAGCAAGCACTGTTAATTGTAACTTTTCTAAAATTATCAGCACAAGAACAAAGACATTCTTCAGAGGATACGAATATAGGCTTGTGTGTGCTTTATCTATCGCCTTGTTTTTATCACATTCCTGGGCAGGAGGATCCCACCAGTTTAACATCGGGCGGCCGGAGCCCGGGCGCCCACCAAGGTTCTCCATCCTGGGGCCTGGCTTTTTGTTTGCTTCCGGCAGTCTCAGGCTTCTTATCTTGTCCTTCACTGAGTCACCCTGACTCCTTCTCAGGCCTGGCTTTTTCCTGCTGCCTGTCTTGCCTGAGGAACTCCCTCTGCCTAGCACACTCCCCCGCTCCCCTCCTAGGCCAGCGGCAACCGGGAAAGTCTTCTCACCTTACCTCAGGGTCCTGTTCATCCTCAACAGCTTTTAGTGCACACCATGTTTTACTGGGACCGATTGTTTAAATTAGTGTCCTAAGATGGAAGTCACTGGAGGCGCAGGCCTGTTGGTCCAGGGCTGTGGGTACCCAACCGATACTGGGTGCAGTGAGAATGACGATCAAAGGGAGGCCTGGCTGGGAGGGGAATCAAGTGTGCTAACAAAGCTGGGGGTGGTGACCCACTCTGGGAGGCTGAGGCAGGAGGATGGTGAGTCCAAGTGCACCCTGGGCAACTAGTGACTCTGAGAGAAGTTGTCTCAAAATAAAACAAAAAAATGGCTGAGGATGTAGCTCACTGTGAGGGCCCTGAGTTCAATCCCCCAGTAGTTAAAAGAAAAAAGAAAATTACATGAACGACCCTGTCCTGTTCCCTCACTCACTCCCCTCAAATGCTGACCTGACAGTAGCAGGTTTCCCCTTTCCCTTCCCTCCATAACTTACCTGCTGCCTTCTGTCCCATGCCTTGCACACAACTTGTGCCAGAATGTTTTCTCCAAGCTCTAGTTACTTAAACGGGGCATTTGTACATTACAAAACGAACAAAACAAAAACAAAGAACTTAAGTCTGTTTGGAAGCAATTTTCAAATAATACCCTTTTTGTTTTTGTTTTGTTAAGTCAGGGTCTCTGCACATAGCCCAGGCTGGCCTCAACTTCGTGATCCTTCTGCCTCTGCCTCATCAATGTTAGGATTACAAGGGTATATCACCACGCTCAGTAAGGACCTACGTTTTACATGCACAAATTCTTCAAGCATGTGTGTGTGTGTGTGTGTGTGTGTGTTTTCATACTGGGGAATGAATTCAGGCCTACACACTGAACGAGAGCCCTAGCCTTTTTCTTTTCTTTTTTCTTTTGTTTATCTTTGTTTTTCTTTTTCTTTTTTTTTTTTTTTTTTTTTTTGTCTTTTTGAAATAGGGTTTCACTATGCAGCTCATGCTGGTCTCGAACTCACTTTTGTACCTCAGGCTGGCCTCGAACTTGCTGAGATCCTCCTGCCTCGGCCTCCGGAGTGCTGGGATTACAGGAGTGAGCCACCACGCCAGACCCCTAGCTCTTTTTCATTTCATTTAATTGTTCTGAAAAAAAAAAAAAAAATAGTTGTTTTGAGACAGGATCTTGCTAAATCGTTAGAATGTCCAGGCTGGGCTCGACCTTAGGATCCTTGCACCTCAGCCTCCCAGAGTGTCTTCAGGAGTCTCCCATTTGCTACCTGCGTCTGGGAGAGGGAAGCACGAGCCGTGATGCTGTAGGCCTCCAAATGCCTCTTCCGGCCCTGCGCGGCGCCTGGCTTGTCCTGGCCTGACCAGCAGTAGGCGCCAACGGCCAGCCTGGCGGGAAAGACAGGCCCCTCCCCGAGTGCCTCGTCAGCTTTCCGGCCCTTGGCTCGGAGGGTGAGCCTTCCTAAATGCGTAAACCACCGAGAGGTAAGGACCTCCCATTTTCCTAGAGAGAACAAGTGGGCGTTGGGAGCACGGTGGTGGGGTGCATAGCGAAAAGGGCGACCCGGAAGCGATAGTGGAGGAAACTTCCGTTCTTTGTTCTGTCCCCGGTGTGTGGGTCTGTGGCCGGGTCCTACAGGTCCTGGTGCGTGTCTGGTTCCCCCAAATCTCCCGTCTCTGCCCCCAGGGTGAGTCGGGCCGTCTCCGGGGCTCGCGGTGAGCGGAGGCTGTGGTCACCAGGGAAGGGGTGGTGTCCGTGCCGCTGCGGCCCGCGGGATCCCCAAGCCCGCCCGGAGCGGGGTGCGGGAGGCGCCCCTCCCTCTCCTGCGGCCGGTCCCGACTCCGCTTCCTCCCGGACCCCGGTCCCCTCCGACACCCGGCGGGACCCTTGTGGCGAGGGAAAGAAAGGGTTCCGGCTCTGGACTTGTGACTTAAACAGTATCCCCAAAGTTCCAGGCTCGCCCCTTAAGGTGTCCTCTCTTTCAAACATCTGACAGCTGCCCGAACTTAGCGCTTCTCCCGCACGCTTTCCTTTGATGGTTCTAGCTTCCCGCGTTTGTGGGAGGAGAGGAAGTCTATTTTTAACTTAGCCGGGTCCGCGCGCGGGTCAGACACTGAGCAATCCTGGGGCGCAGTTAGGACCAGGGCTGGGAGCAGGTGCGAACTCAGGTTCCGAGCGTGATCCTGCTGCAGCCCGACGAGTCGCGTCTTTTATGGGAAGGGAGACAGCTCCCTCCGGCTCCCTGTTTTAACTGATCCCTGATTTGGTCTTTTGTAGAAGTAGGACTGAGCACAGTGGGGTTTGTTCCCTGAAGAGTTTGTGTGAACTCCGTAAGAGGACAGGAGGGTGGTGAGCTTGAAACCCCTGGGCTAATTAGGACCTAAGGTATTTTTTTCTTCCAGGGCAGATGTCTTCGAACTAAGTACTGAGTAATTAGAGAAGGACTAAATAACTAGGCAAGTACTTGGAGAAGTACTAAGTCAGGGTAGCTGTCAGATGTGGGCATCATTTGGTTTCACGTGTTTGATGGACAGTCGTGGGGAGAGACTGTCATTGAAGCTGCATAGACGACTAGATCTCTGAGCGGCAGGTCTGATGGGGTGGAGTGCAGTCCCACCTCTCATGGCTAAGTCGTGCATTGCAGTGCAGAGGCCTGCAGAAGTAACGGAGTGTATCTGGCAAGTTAGCTGACAGAACAACAGGAACTTCCTGCCCCGGGTGAAAGTTCACCTGATCAACCCTCTGTGCTCTTTCAGCTCCGTCCAGAATGCTGAAAGGAAAATAATCAGTTGTGCAGGTCTTGACTTTTTTTTTTTTGGTACCGGAAATCGAACTCAGGACCTTGCACTTGCTAGGCAGGCGCTTGTGCCCCTGAGCTGTATCCCCAGCCCTATTGTGCAGGTCTTAATGGGTATTTAAATCCTGGTGCGGTGGCACACATCTGTAACCCCAGCACTCTGGAAGGCTGGGGCAGGAGGATTGCGAGTTCCAGCCCAGTCTGGGCAAGTTTAACGACTTGTCAAGACCCTAGCTCAAAATTTTAAAAACGTAGCTCAGTGCAGAGGCCCTGGGTTCAATCCCCAGTACCACTACCCTCCAAAATAAAGTTCTGTCTAAATAATCTAGCTTAGAAATAAAGTTTACACCACCACCAAATCATGCAGCATTGCCATCAACAAAAGTGAGAATTTCCAGGAACAGAGGCTGTCAAATTCCCACTTGTGACATTGGCCTTCTAGGGACTAACTTCAAAGGAAGGAAAGTATCTGGCAAGTGAATCTTCCCAAGGCCTGCTCTCACAGCCAGGTGGTCTTATTTCCCAGGAGTATCTCCAGGAAGCAGGGTTGGCAGCAGAGCATGGGAGGAGTTCTTCCTGGACCCACGACTGTGGGAGCCCAGTGGGGAGTTTCTTTCTGTCAGAAACATTGTTTGCTGATCCAGACACTGGGGACTTGTTCTCAACAATATGCCTTTGAGTTCCAGCTCTGCTTACCCCAGCTGTGAGGAGAGAGCAATGCTTTCTTCTGTGGATTCAGAGCTTTTGACTTGGCTTTCTTAGGAGAAGTGGGGTTTTGTCAGCGTCCCAAGTCACTGGGGCAACAGATGTGCGCCACTGCACCCAGCTTCTAAGGGGAGTTTGTCCTAAGAGATGATTTGTTGGGGCTGTCTGCTTTCATAAACAGTCTTGTTAGTTCTGAGGTAAAAGTGACTGCTGGCTGGCTCCAAGACAATGGTTGAAGGGACCCAGCTGGAGGGCGATGGTAGCAAGTGTATCACCTTGATTGCCCTTGGGGCCTGGCTGCTACCTTAGTGCTTGTCACTGCGTAATGTGTTAGCATTGGGAAACTGCCCAAGACTAGTCACTAGACTTTTTGAACTTGAACTTTCTTTTTTTTTTTTTTCCTTAGTTGTTGTTTTTGTATCAGGTATCAAACTCAGAACCTTGCGCTTGACAGGCGGGTGCTCATGCCCCTGAGCTATCTTCCCAGCCCCTTTTGTGAACTTTCAAGTGACTCACACAGGGCTCCTCTCCCTTTTGTGCCTTACAGGAATGTAAAGCTGTAACACAAACACCTGCTTTCCTGATTGTTGTACTCCTTGCAGTGTGGTTGGCGCTCAAATGTTTGTTATGTGAAGAATGACTAAATAGATAAAACCCAGAAGTTTCTGAGGGTTTTGTTTTTTTTGGTCCACCCCTTCTTCCTGTGCTCTTGATTGTTCTCGTGATTGCTGTGTCTATTTTAGATATGTTGCCACAGCCTTGGAGTCTTTCTTTTTTTTTTTTTTTTTTTTTTTTTTTTTTTTTTGTCTTTTTTTGAGACAGGGTCTCCCTATGCAGTTCAGGCTGGCCTTGAGCTCATTTTGTAGCCCAGGCTGGTCTTGAACTTGGAATGATCATCCTGCCTCAGCCTCCTAAGTGCTGGGATTACAGGCGTGTACCACCACGCCCGGCAAGCCTTCTAGTCTAAAGTAGAAACTTCTACCTGAGATTCAAACCGTACTCTTAAGTGCTAATACAACATTTTGTCCACTAGAACCACAGAGAACAGAACTCAATTATGGTGTCAACTGGGGAATGACTTATATTCCCCAGTATTTGTACTTATAAAAGTAGGGTGATAAAGAATCTTACATTAAAAAAAATTGGTTCTTGCTTTAGGGACTTACATTTTGATTCAAAGAGAGAAAAGAGATAAGAAAAGCTACTGCCTTCTTTGTAAGAGTAAGCACAGAAACTGGGACTAGGCTTTTCATCCTGATGAACATAAACACTTTACTTTTATAAATATCAGGGTGTTCAGCAGGGAGCCAGGGGTAGGACGTTGAGCAAAGCCTGGGCCCTTTCTGTGTCCTGTAGTATCATTACAGGGTACACGTGAATCTGTTCACCAGGATCTAGACCAGTCCCAGTTACTTTTAGGTCTTAACTGAGATGCTAGTTGCTCTCTTTATGTGTACAGGAGGTGTCTTTTAAGTTGTCTTTGAACTTTTACTTCTACAGTGCTTCCTCGTTCTCATTCAAAACCGGCTTCCTTCTGAGTCTGGAGATAGGAGATCGGAAGCCAGAACATCTACCCTACCCATGGAAACTCAGGCTGATCATGTATCTCAGGAACCTCAACCCTTGCTTGAGAGTGGTGAGGAATAAGGATTCATTCCATGTTTTATTCATTCCGCGGTCATCTGTTGACATTTCTTGTTACTAGGTGTTAGATTAACTAGACCCTAGAGGTGCCATGATTCTTCTGTTGAATAACTCACAGTCTTACGTGGGGGGCTGACTAACACCAGTTGCTACTGCACAGCTTGAGAAGTTTTACAACAGGCATTTTTGAAAGCTATTGGGCACCTCATGCAAGACCAACAATACTGAATTCTATTTTTCAGGCACTTTTTAATAGCAGACTTTGCAGTCATAGATTGCGCTCTTTAGGTGCATGCTGTTGAGTCTTTTAGACATCATTTTGTCCAAAGGCAAAATGATAATGTAGACAGAAAGCCACTAAAATGTATTTTGCTTTTGTAGATTGTAGTTTTGAGCTAGCTGGGGTTTTTTTGTTTCTTTTTTTTTTTTTTTTTTTTTTTTTTTTTTTTTTTTTTTGTCTTTTTGAGACAAGGTCTCACTGTGCAGTGCAGGCTGACCTTGTGCCCATTTTGTAGCCCAGGCTGGTGTGGAATTCGCAACAATCTTCCTGCCTCAGCCTTCTGAGTGCTGGGATTATAGGCATGCACCACCACGCCCGGCAAGCTCGTTTTAATCTTAATGGATATTATTTCTTTGCTTTTCAGGAAAAAAGCATTTAAGGTTCTTCTTTGTTAAAATCTACTGTGACTAGAGGTTTGGAATCTCCGAGACAAACATGTTACCCAGATTACAGGGAGAGTTCTGTGGTCCAGCACGGAAACAGGAAACATTTGTAGTGTGTAGATTTCATCTGGGGAAGAAGAGCTTGTGGTTGTGTTTTCAGTCAGGGATGGGGTGAAGCTGCTCATTTACCTCTAAGAACTTGGTGCAGGAATTGGGCAGCGTCACCGAGAGGACTGACCAGAGGCCAGCGGGCAGGCAGACTCACTCCTGGGCCCTTTTATTGTCCTTCAGCTCTTCCCTCCTCAGAAGTTCCTGCCTTTTCCAACAAGGACAGTCTGGGGGATGAGATGCTGGCAGCTGCTCTCCTAAAGGCCAAGTCCCAGGTGAGCACTGGTTCCCTTCACCCTTTTCCTTCCCATTTCTGGACAGTTCAGTTCAGTGACATCCCATTCGGTACCCAGATTCCTGAATCTGTCTGTCAGGGCCATGCTCATTTCTTACTTTCTGTCATGGACTCTTGGGTCTCATCCTCTGCTCTAACCGCCTTTTCCACTTCCCAGAAAGGCATTTCAAAAATAAATTCATTCATTCATTCATTCATTTCAAAAATAAACTCATTCATTCATTCATTCATTCATTGAGACAAAGTCTCACTATGTAGCTCAGGCTGGCCTTGAACTCAGAGTGATTCTCCTACCTCAGCCTCCTGAGTGCTGGAATTACAAGCGTGTGCCCCACCCCAAGCTCAACCGAAAGACGTTTTTGAGCCCCATCTTGAATTGCTGTGTTGGTGCTGCCGGTCCCTGCCATCACTGTGAAATTGTATGTGTGACCGCATTGTTTCAGGAGTTGGTGACATTTGAGGACGTAGCTGTCTACTTCATCCGGAAGGAGTGGAAGCGATTGGAACCTGCTCAGAGGGACCTGTACCGGGATGTGATGCTGGAGAACTATGGGAATGTGTTCTCACTGGGTAAGGAGATGCACCTTCTCAGGGGGCCTCTGTGGCTTCCAGTGGCTTTCTTGGTGGTTGGTAACAATGTTGTCACTGTGAACAAGTAGCGATTAGCTCGTTCTTGGAAAATCCTAATAACAATGGTAGCCAAAACTCACATATATTCAGCTTATAAAGAGTTTTCGTTGGTATTTATTTACTTAATTCATCCTCACAGTGACAGTGTAATCAGGGTAACCAGCATTACCCTCGTTTTATAGGAGAGGAAAGTGAGGTTGGAGATCTCAGATGCTTTGTGCGTGGTTGTAGAGCTGCTGCGTGGCCAGGCTTGAGCCTCAATCTTTGAACTCCAGATTGAGTACTTTTTCCGTGTATTCTTAGGGCTTAATGTATAATCCAGCAGCTTTTCTAAAAGATTAATGTGAACAGCTGTTTGCGTGAACATTCTGGGAGTCAGCTCTGTCTCCTCCTCTAGTCCTCTAGATTCGCCCCAGGGACCTCTTACTTTGTTTAGGATCAAGGGCACCTGCTGCTGTTATAGAAGTGTAAACTTGCTTAAAGGAGAAATAGCCTTCTTAATCTTCAGGATTAATTCCTTGTTTCTCATCCCACTTTCAGTGAAAACATTTTCCTGAGCAGTGCCAGGGGGTCTTACTAACTCCCAGCTGAGACCTCCCCGTACAGTTCCTTTCTGTCTCCTGGAAACCTGCAGTCTCGATTGTGCTCTGTAGCCACTCAGTTGAGCAGGATGACTCCCTCACTCCGCGTCTCTTTCCCATTTCTGAGTCCTGGCATGATCTCTTGGTTGGAGTGAGGAAGGGCTAAAGGACCTGGTTAAATGGATCTGAGAACAGGGAGGTCCTGTTCACGTGAGAGAAGAACAGCTGTTTCCGTCTCTGACACTCACTGCCCTGCCTGCTTTTTAAAATGAAAAAACAAACTATAAATGCTAACTATCTACACCCGTTACACTTACTCTCCAGAAGTAGTGAAATTAGAGACGTCAGATACTGAGGTGGTTTATCTAGCCTCCCACACGAGCACAGCCTTTTGGCCTGGAGCTTGGAGGTGGACAGAACTCCGTCCTGCCTGTTTCTGCGGGTGTGGCACTGCGGTGGGACTGCAGACAGGGTGGCTCTGCTGAGCTGGGCTGTAAGGAGTCCCTTGTGTCTCCTCCACCTGCTCCTTCCACCCTGCTGCTGTTCGTCATCACCCTCCTCACCTTTCCCTCCAGCCCTGTTTGTCAGTTTCTTACATTTGCTCTCCCTTAAACTGTTCTTGCAGCCACCATCTCCCCAGTTATATCCCGCTGACCTTTTGAAGACTTTGTCACTTGTTAAACAATACATCCTTTCTCTTCTGGTTTTGGTTCTCAACTTGCCGATCATCCTCCCTCCTGACAGCTTCCGCTTTCTCTGTTCTTTCAGCTCTTTTCTCCTTGCTCTTGCTTTCTACCTTGTTCTCTCTGTTTCCTTTGGCCAGTTATCTTACTTTGCCATAGCTACATGCATACAAGGTAGACCTCTTTTCAGTCATGTAAAAGGCGTGCCCTTTTGTACTATAAATATCAGTCACATTGAATATCTTGTCGTCTGACTTTTACTGTTTTTTTCCCCCATGGAACAAGTAACATTTGCATTTTTTATTGTGCTAGATGGTGAGTCCAGGACTGACAGTGATCGAGACATTTCAGAAGATACAGGATCACATGGGATGCTATTGGGAAGATTCCAAAAGGATATTTCTCAGGGTCTTAAATTTGAAGAAGCCTATGAACAAGAAGTCAGTCTAAAAAGGCAACTAGGGAACTCCTCTGGGAAAAGATTGAATAGGAAGATACAAGATTTTGGTCAAGTGACAGTTGAAGGAAAGCTCTCCCCCATGGCAGAGAGAAATGAGAAATATAATGAGTTTGGGAACAGCTTCACTGTGAGTTCCAGTCTGATTTCCCATCAGAGACTTCCTGTGGGAGACAGACCCCATAAATGTGATGAATGTAGCAAGAGCTTTAATCGAACTTCAGACCTTATTCAACATCAGAGAATCCACACAGGGGAAAAGCCCTATGAATGTAGTGAATGTGGCAAGGCCTTCAGCCAGAGCTCACATCTTATTCAGCATCAGAGGATCCACACTGGGGAGAAACCTTATGAATGTAATGATTGTGGGAAGACCTTCAGTTGTAGCTCTGCTCTCATCCTACATCGGAGGATCCACACTGGGGAGAAACCTTATGAATGTAATGAGTGTGGGAAAACCTTTAGCTGGAGTTCCACCCTTACTCACCACCAGAGAATCCACACTGGCGAGAAACCCTACGCTTGTAATGAGTGTGGAAAGGCCTTCAGTAGGAGCTCTACCCTTATTCATCATCAGAGAATCCACACTGGAGAAAAGCCCTATGAATGTAATGAGTGTGGGAAGGCCTTCAGCCAGAGCTCACATCTCTATCAGCACCAGAGAATCCACACTGGAGAGAAGCCCTACGAATGTATGGAATGTGGAGGAAAGTTTACCTATAGTTCAGGCCTTATTCAGCATCAAAGAATCCACACAGGGGAGAATCCCTATGAATGTAGTGAGTGTGGAAAAGCCTTCAGGTATAGCTCAGCTCTCGTCCGCCATCAGAGGATTCACACTGGAGAGAAGCCTTTGAATGTAATGGGTATGAGCAAAAGTTCTCTCAGAGTTACTGCTGAATTAAATATCAGAGAGTCTACATGAAAGAGCTGCATACCCGTTTTCCTCACTTCCCGCGTCTCAAGAGCCCTTGCCTTATTTTATAACTCTGAACAACTTAGGCTTGTCCCTTCCACCTCAGACCTTTCCCATTAATGGGGCAGATTTTGTGTTTCATCATGGCACAGTGATCAGAAACCTAGTGGATTTCCCAGAAAACAGCCTTCAAAACTTGAGAGGCAAGTGAGAGATTAAGTGCTGGGAACAGAAGGAAGCTTGAGGACCAGTCACCCTTTTCTGGAGGGGAGTTTGCACTAAACCGTTTTTTCTCACACCAGACAAGCCTTTCTTTCCAACACGGGGGTGGAAGATTAGTAGGAATAAAGTTCCAATGATTCCGCTAGTTGGAATCAATGTAGTGAGCACAAAAGGCAGTGGAAAGAATGTCCTGGGTCCTCATTGCTAGGGAGGGGAGCAGAGGCTGTGTTTTGAAGCCACTGTCCCCAATCCAGCTTTACGATTTGACAAGGAACATGCTGTTGCGTGATTTCATTAATTAAGGAAACCTGGTGTTGAAGGACTTGTTATTTTATTGAAGGAGGGGAAAGGACCCTAAAAAAGATTTCTGTGATGACTGTATCCTGTAGGGCTTTTGGAGCAACACGACTATGTTTCCAAGAGCAGTCTGGCAGTCCCGTAGGCAGGCCGAACGTCCCGTGCTTCCTGTACTGACTGGGAAATCCAACTGAGCAGTGAATAACCTGAGGGTGCAGATCAGAAGCATTTAGTACTAGCCTCTGATTCCTGCCCTGTTCCTCTTCCCGCTCCTGTGATGACAAGCGATTTACTCCAACGTCTAGTTACTAAGGATGCTTTCAAGGAGCTGATTCAGTCAGTCTCTCCTGCCCTCTGTTACCTCTAATATCTGGCCCCAGCAGCTGGACCTCCCCTAACTCCACTTCTGACTTCAACAGGCAAGGATTAATCCACATAAAGAGCAGAGCCCGGAGAAGGAAGGCTGTGGCCCGAACTTGGTGACAGGGCTCCTTGCAGGGCTAGAATGGCACTCAGTGAATTTTCCCAACCTGAGGGATGACCTTCCATTGTTTTCCCAACCCTGCTCAGCCTGTAGCATAAACGAAGTGCACTATTAAACAGAATAGTTTTTCAGAAGAGGAAATTGGGTGTGTTTTTGCGCAGCGGTCAAATTTATTTGAGCCAGAACACTGACTCTAAATAGAATCTGAAAGTTAACCTTTAAATTTTTCCTTTGGCAACCATTTCTCAGTTACAAATATGAGGTTTCCCTTCCGTCCTCCATCATATTCCTGCACAAACTACTGTCACAAACCAACATCAAACCATTGACAGAGGTCCCCCCACATATGGGATATTGTAAGCTGCAGCTCATTCTGTGTGGTGTAATACTTTTTTTTTTTTTTTTGGTTTTTCTCCGGTACCGGGAACCAAACTCATGACCTTGCGCTTGCCAGGCAGGCGCTTTTGCCGCTGAGCTAAATCCCCAGCCCTGTGTGGTGTAATACTTAAGACCAATAACCAAAAATAGGATGTTACTGGGTATGGGTTCCCTGAAAAGATTGGTTGTTAGGTAGCCATGGGCAATTTACATTTCTTGGTTGTGTTATTCATAGAAGGATATTAAAACCACAGAGAAAGCTAGGTTGAAAATCTGATGGAGAAAATATCTGGGACTCAGGCCTTTTAGAAAAAGCATTAAATCATGTATATGGTAATTGACCATCTCATACAGGTTTCTAATTTCACTAACCTAGAATGAAACTGATTATATTGTCTCTTAGCATTTGGCACCTATCACACTTGGACTTTGTTTCTCAAAATGTGCATGATGAACTGTCCATGTTACAGTCACTAAGCCGCTTATTAGTCATGGGGCAGGTTTTTAAGCCCCAGCGTACACTATATCATCATTTCTGGGACAAGACTACGTTTTTTACACTGAAGGAAGAAATAGTAATGGTATAGTTTCCATTACTATTACCAGTAATGGTTCAGTTAAAACATACTGAAGCCACCCCAAAAGGATTAGCACTAAATATCATCTGAGTGGAGCATGCAACTGACCTTGGCCATTATTTGAACATTTTGTTTTCATTTTTAGGTTTTTTTTTTTGAGACAAGGTCTCGCTCTGTAATTCAAGGTGGCCTTGAACTCACTGTGAAGCCCAGGCTGGTCTCAAACTTGCTGTAATCCTTCTGCCTCAGCCTCCCAAGTGCTAGGTTTACAGGCGTCCATCACCACGTCTGGCTAAAATAATTTTTTGAAATTCTACTCCCTTAGTTCTACAGGTCATCCCTGTTCCCCATGCTGATCATTCTTTTTTCAGTCCTTAACTGGCCACTCCGTGATGTTTTACCATTTTATCAGCCTGGCCTTTCTCTACTGTTACTCTTGGAACCCATTTATGTCCCAGGCTTTCACCATTGCCTCTGGTGGCTGATCTCTTGCCCAGATTCCAGACGGGTCTCCGACTACAGAACATTTACACTGGGACTTCCTGTGTGTTTCAAACCTGTATATTTTTCCCATTTATTGTTGCTGTCTCAGAATTTCTGTAAGTCTCTCAGAGTCAAAACCCAAATTTTCTCAGTCCTCATGTTCCTGTATCTAACAAGTGTGAGGTCTTGGGAGATTCTCTAATGGAAAGAGGTTACGTTCAGAGGCCAGATTTTCATAGCTGAGGTGGTAGCCAGTTGTGGTGGTGCATGCCTGTAATCCCAGCACTCAGGAGGCTGAGGCAGGAGGATCATTGCAAGTTCGAGACCAGCCTGGGCTACAAAGTGAGCTGAAGGCCAGCCTGAACTGCATAGTGAGACCCTGTCTCAGAAACAAACAAACAAAACAAAAAAAACCAGTTGAGTTTGTAGAGGAAATGGGTTTTCCAAGTGACGGTAACAATAGCTGACATATGGCATCATTATACCAGCCTGATTGGCCCTTTCAAGTGGTTTTTATAAATTACTCCTTACAGCAATCTGTGAAAAAAGGTATTAGTGATATCTCGGACATGAGGACATGACCTAGATGTCTTGTCTGAGAGATGGGGAAGCATGTGAAAAAGTAAACCCTACCTAGATGATTATCCTGTTTACTTTTTTCCCTACAATCTTCGTTCCAATATTGCTAACCCTAGAGGTAAGGTCCTTATTATTCCCTGGTTATAGAAATAATCTAACAGGTTAATAGGTCTGTTTCCTTTCAGGCTCCTCAAAGCACCTGTGGCAGTCTTACCATTAAGTGGTTGAAGCATTTCAGTACCTTTTCCCTTTTTACAGAGTAAAATTCTGTCTCAGTCTTAAAGTGCAGGCCTCCTTCAGCTGATCTCTCCGTGTCTGTGGAGAGACCATGTCTCTTGTGTCTTACTGTTCCTCTTCATGTGTCAAGTAGTGAAATGACAAAGCCCAGTATTCATGTCCGTGAGCTCGCCCACACAGCCCTGCGTGCTTCCTGTCCGACATCTTGGCATTCCTGTCACCCACTTCCTCCCCTTTGACACACCTTACCTTGGACTGATGCGTGGAATACAGGATGTACTATCTGGCGGGCAAAGATAGGTAATGCCTGTCTTTCCACCTGTTCTTCCTCAGTACCCTCCCTCCTGTTTCTCTAACAGATGCTTTTTTGTCTCTGGAAACTTCTAGTAAGCTTCAGATATCCGTGGAGACTTTGCAGTCAAGTTAATCATTTCCTCCGAGCTGCCTCTGCATCGGGGACATACATGCATTATTATCTTTGTTCCCACCTGTTACTTATGATTTGTTTATACACCTGATTCTTTATTGTGGTGGGTTCCCCCCCTTCATTTTGATACTTCTCTACCATGAATACTTATTACTTTCCCACTGAGAAGAAATAGTGGCAGAGTGCATGCTTGGCATGTGTGCAAGGCCCTGGGTTTGACCCACTGTGTGCACATTACTGTGAAGGCAAGCAGATATTGTATTAAAAATTTTTTTTAAAAAAAGGGCTAGGGATGCAGTTCAGTGGAAGGGCCCTGGGTTCAATCCTCAGTGCTAAAAACAAAGAAAAAAGTATGAGGTAGCAGAAAAATGGGGCAAGGGAGAGCTAATGGAGGAGGTGGAGGCAGCAGGCAGTGGAGAGAGGGCAATGCTTAAAGAGCACCCGGGAAGTAAGTGTAGTCATGCTGAAGTACGTACTGCTGGGGCAGAATGTTCTAGAAGATAGGAAATCCTCAGGAAGGCATTGAGATGGCACGGGAGTGCCGGGGAGACTGGCGATATGGGCAGGAGTGCTGGATTGTCCTAGGGCAATATCTACAAACATAAAAGAAGTAAAAGTAATAAGTAGCATCCCCTGAGCACTATGTCAGGCATTGTTCTATGCATATTATGTATTAACTCTAATTTCCATAATAATTCTATGAGCTACATACTATTACTGTCCCTCTGTGCCCCTTTGTCTTCACAGCTGTCAATACTGTCTTCACAATATCTGCTTTCCTTCACAGTAATCCTGTACGCTATTAGGCCGAGTAGTATCCCTGTTTCACAGATGAGAAGTAAGACATAAAGTGGTGAAGTAACTTGCCTAGTGTAACTTCTAGAAACCAGTTGTGCAGAGATTCAACCCCAGACAGACTGGCTCCAGAACCTGAGCTCTTCGTCTCACAGTGCGCTGTCTGTGCAAATGAAATAGGGACTTTCAGGAGCAAGCAAGGATATGTTCTGCTCGGAGAAGAGTGAGGCTCTTGCTGGTCACAAAAGACTTCATTCACCAAAGGCTCAACAACTCAAGTTGAGAACACAGAATGACAAAGCCATGAGTGAAGACTTTTGTTCCGCCTGACAAAGGAGGTGCAAAAATGAGTGTTCAGTTTGGGTCAAATAGTCTCTCTTAAATGTGTACTGTGTTTCAGGCACCATGTCAGCAAAAGACAGTAATAGGGGCAGGGGAGGGAAAGGGGCAGATTAGGTCAGGGTCAGGGTCAGTTCAAGGTAAGGACCTGTTCTCTTTTCTCTAGGTACCAGAAGAAGGCAGTGAATGTGTGAGTTTGCTGGATGTGGGGTACTAGGATGACAGCCGCTGAGCCTCATCCGTGAATTCATGAAGGAGAGGAGCAATGTGGACAGTCACTTACAGCACGCCATTAAGAGCAGGTCTAAGCCGGATGTGGTGTGCACACCTGTAATCCCAGCAGTCTGGAGACTGAGGCAGGAGGGTTGTAAATCTGAGCCCCACCTGGGCAACTTAGTGAGACTGTGTCTCAAAGTAAAAAGAAAGGGCTGCGGAGGTAGCTCAGTACAAAAGCCTTGGGTTCAATCCCCAGCACCACCATCACCAAAACCACAGCAGCACCACCAAGTAGGTCTGGCCTTCCTGACATCATGGAAAGATGCTTTTGGGGCTCCTCAGGGGGACTGGTCAGCGGGCATCATGCCAGTGGCCCAGACATATTCAGAGGGAGAAGGTGAGATGCCAAGGGAGCAGCCTGCAGCTGGACAGCTGGACTCTGGCTCCCCACCCCCACCCCCCGCCTGAATGCACGGTGAGCTCCTCCACTGCACCGGCCCCCTGAACCCACAATGGGCTCCTTCCAAGCTGAACGTTGTCTCGGGTGCACTGTAGAGCCCCAGAACGTGCCATGGAAACTGTAGGGCCCGTGCGCCTGGTGACCTCCAAAGTTAGGGTGCTGCAGATCATGGCGAAGGCTCCCCAGAAGCCCGCTGGATCTCAGGTCCCAGCACCTCCTCTGCTGCTCAGAGACAGAACCAGGCAGTGTGGGAGCAGGGCCTGCGATGTCCCCACCTCGTTAGCTCCCTGAGTGATTCTGATGCCCAAAATTTGGGAATGCCCAACTGGAATCCTCTTTGGTGGGGTCCATTGTCAATACACAAGGTCGTCCTCTGGATAAAAGGACAACACACAATCTCCACACTCTGTCCCTAGCTTGTAAACTTACTTCTTTCTCGTGAAACTTGAGTGCCTGCTGAGCCGCCCCTCCCCCCATCAGCCCGCCAGCTTCCTCTCACACCTGCCTCTCCCTCGGTATTCCTGATCGCGGTATTCCTGATCGCGGTATTCCTGATCGCCTGCCCGAGTCACACCAGGTCAGTAACCCGAGAGCTGACCTCGGCCCTCACACACCACATCAAGTCAGACTCCACAGCGAGCTGGTCCCT